CAATATCTTTGTCTAAAACTATAGACAACTTGTTGTAGTCAAACCTATTCGCCTGATAGAAAAATATCTCATGAACTACCAAACTGAATTTAATGAAATTTACAGAAAGTTCATATTAAACAACTTATTATTGTTTAGACTCCTGTCAAAGGTGGACATATGGTACAGTCTCCGTCCGTCCGTTCGTACATAAACTTTCACTTGTCCTGCCCATAACTCCTGATCTGATCAAGATAAAAACACGCACATATGGATCGTCACTAGATGACATGTTGTGTAATGCTTTCATCACCCCAGCTTCAAGGTAAAGGTCCCAAACCAAGGTCAAAGTTAAAAGAAGGTATTTGCTTGTCCATAAAATTGGCTCAAGATAATTTAAAGAAACTCGATACACATCTGTATCACCACTAGACAGCATGATGGATAATCATCCATCACCCCAGCTCTAAGGTCAAGGTCACAAATGAAGGTCAAAGTTTATTCAAGGTCTTTGTTTGTCCTGGTCATTGTCATAGATTGCTGTGTGGCTCTGCCTTGATAAGGCCCATCTTCAAACACCGTTCATCTCAGTTAAAATAAGTGTTAAGTAATCATAACCATAACATCACTACCCATTTCAACACTTTGTTAGAAAACTGGCATTTTGTTTCATGTGTGGACAGTGAATCTCTGACTTTAGACACAGCTGCTAATTTATTTTCTTATTTTGATTTGGAATTGGAATCATTGTTGTGTAAATCATTTGGACATTTGCGTTTGCTTTAATGGAAGTTGACCAGAAGATGTCCCCGATGGGGTCCATCTTTGAGGCTTTGAAGCTTCAAATTTTTTTCCTATAGGCTACAAAAAGCGATACGTCTATGTCCCATATTGCTGAGGGATTAGAATAGTTAATGCTTGTAGTTTTTGAGACGTGTTTTTTTATGGACTGGATTTAAACAGGGAATACAAGTAAACCTTAATGTTTTGGGAGCAGGATATTCAAGTGGGCAGGAGTTACACTGTGGAGATGAACAGAAGGAGGCTTGTCTGAGGAAGCACGGCTTAACAGGTTCTGGCGAGTGGAGGGAGCATTGTCTACCACCAGTTGCAATGGAAAAGACAGCGGGTGACCAGTGGTGGCCATGGCCATCGTAGATTAATCTTTGCCCACTCAATCATCCACCCAAATCAAATGAATAAATTATACTTTAAAGCAATATAAAAGCTGAAAGATAGTTTCCTCAAACTACTGGGGCGGCTGGTTTAGTAGCACCCTATAGTGAAAAGGGATAGGGGGGTTAGGGTTAGCAACTGAACTGAACATAAACACAGTCACTGTGTAAACCTAAAAACACAACAGAAATTATCCTGATTCATGCTCAATAATCCAGGTAGAAAAATCTAATAAAGTTAAGTCAGGTTCGCTGGACGGTTTCTTTTTGATGAAACGTTTCATCTTTCATCCAAAAGACTTCAGTCCTAGGAGCCACAACAAACTCCATCCATCCATTATCTTTTACCCGCTTCTTCCATTTTGGGTCACGGGGGTTGCTGGTGCCCATGTCCAGCAATCACTGTGTGAGGGGCGGGGTACACCCTGGACAGATCTCCAGTCCATCCAAGGACACATAGAGACAAACAAGACAAACAACCATTCACTCTCTCAGTCACACCTAGGGACAATTTAGAGTTACCAGTCAGTCAAACATGCATGTTTATCTGTGGGAGGAAACCGGAGTACCCGGAGAAAACGCATGCACGGACAGAACATACAAACTCCACCCAGAAAGACACCCTGACCGGGATTTGAACCAGGGACCTGCTCGCTGAGAGGCAGCAGCTCTACCAGTTGTGCCACCGCGCTGCTAAATGAGAGTATGACTAACAAAAACTATATAGTTGTAGCTTTATTTTGCTGCTGTGCATGACAAGGGAGATTGCAATAATGTGGTGCACACTTTGTGGTGCACACTTGGAGTGTGGCAACCCTTTAAATTCCAACTTCTAGTTGGGTTTTCAGGTAGATTTACATCATATTTAGTTTCAGATATGCAACATGCTGTGGAAAAATGAAAATGCTTGGACACACTTGCCTGACCTTGGTTGCTATGCTAATATTGAGTTTAACAATAATGGAGGTAATAGAACAAGCTGGGTATAAACAACAGAATGGGGTAACCTGGTAGTGGCATTATCTTAATGAAATGTTGGATGAAGGATGGTAAAGGACAATAACAAGATAGTCCTCAATATGTCTCAAACCTAATGCAGTCTATGTCAATTTATTTATATAGCACATTAAAAGCAACAAAGGTTAACTATAGTACTTTAATTCAATTCAATACAGTTTATTTATATAGTGTCAAGTCACAACAGAAGTCATCTTAGGTTGAGATGATTGCTTTATAGTTCAGTCAAGACAGCTTGGGCCATTAATAAAACAAGTTAAAATAAAATACAAACATACTATAAAAGTTTGTCCAAAAAATTTGTGACAAATTATAGCTCAAGATAATAAAATTGTCGTAAGCATCTCAAACCCTTCTCAAGATTGTTGCCGGTGTCTCAAAATAAAGTCTTGAGTGCTTCTCAATTTAATTTTAACCATCCCAATTTGATCTTGAAACTTTCCAAATAATGTCAGACATAATCCATCTTAAGGGCACTAGAGCAGCATGGGAGCTGTAGACAAAAAACATCCAATGCCCCAGATGTTCACATCTAAAAGCTACACAGAAAATAAATATTATAATAGAAAAACGTCCAAATTTGCCTGTCTTCTTTTCTAAAATGCACTGTACTGTAAATTGTAATAACAACCCACTTCAGAGTCAGAGAGGTTTTATTGTCATTTCAGCTATGTACAAATCCATCCATCCATCCATCCATCCATCCATCCATCCATCCATCCATC